TTTAATTATATATTAATAGTTCTTTATAGTTATTTATTCATTTATTCATTTATTTAATTATTTATTTATTTGTTGCAAACAGTGTCCCTTTCGGGAGATTTCTCTTTACGTACTGTCTAACAGACACAACAAACAAAGAGGAAAGTAAAAAATCCCCTCTATTGTTGTTCTAGTGACAACTCAAACTTTTGGATTTCCCATCCCTTTCTGTCTTGCTGACAATGGTCACCCGGATCAAAAAAGTTAGGTTTTAGATACATTTTTAGACCACTAATTAATGGGCCTCATATGTTAAACTGACACTAAACTCTTGAGTTAATGGAGAATGAAGGGGTGAGTGAAAAACACTTATGCCCATAATTCAAGCTGACCTGCGACAAAGAAGCTGTCACAGGTCGACTCTATTGATCGGGAAGTAACACTGCCATTCGCTGACTTCTTGATCCTCTCCCTGCAGAAAACGATGACTGTCAGTAGCCAGCTATAATACTAAGTTCACCAGAGGACCCAATATATGTCCTCCCATAACCCTGAGGAGAACTATAGGGCAAAAAAGGTTGCCCCATAGTTCTCCTTTAAATCTTAAAAATGCATTCAAGTATCTTATTACATCACTCTACTACTTTACTTACTACCGGGGGCGGACTGACCATTCGGGCAGTCGGGCACGGACCGAGGGCCTGCGGCCATCAGTGGGCCCGTCACCGACCGCCCCCTCGCCGCTGCCTCTCTGCCATCTGCGCCCGGTCAGCCCGTCTGCATCAGATGTGGCTCTGTAATCGCCGGCTGCTCGCTCCTCAAGGGGGTCCTCAGCAGGCCACCGCCTCACGCTCGCCGCTGCCAGACCCGCCCGCATCCACGCTCCACACGCTGCACCTCCTCCCCGCCACACGCTCACTTCCCACCCACATCCAAGATCGGCACGGGGAGAAGAAGAAGTAAGGAGGAGCAGGCGTGGGGGGATGACAGCTGCCGACCCGATCTCAGAAGCAAGTTGCTGGAAGACTGCTCAGGTAAGCCTGCACTTCCCCCCCCAAAGTAGTGGACATGGAGCGGAGTAAGGCTAGAACCAGGTAGGGAGCCCATTGGGAGGAGAGCACCATCCCCCAGCCAGTCGTCCCTTTCATGGACTTACTAGTGACTCCTCACATCACCCGACCATTCACACTATCGTTACATGGATGGTAAAAGTGGCAGGAAGGGGCGTGGGAAGAGGTAGAGTGGGAGGGGGACCAAGTTGCTGCACCATGGGCCTCTGGGTTGTACTTGCCCCTTTGCTAAAAGTTGCCAGTAAGCCCATGCTGTTTTCCTCACCTACCGTGCGCCAATAGCTGATTTAATTGTGGATGGCATCGGTGCCCGACGGTTGCGGTATTCAGGATTGTGGTCGGCGTTGGACTACATGTCACAACCGCGGGGCACAGATGCCATCCGCAATTAAATCAGCTCTCTGCTCCCAGCGGTTGCAACATGCAATGAAAATTATTAGTGCCCCCCCCCCAGATTTGACTGTAGTATCTTATGTGCCCCCCATATATTGTTCCTAGAGTCGCCACTAAAGGAAAGGCAGCTGTGTGCGCCATCTCTTTGCTGTTTTCGGCTGAGCCGCAGCCAAACTAGTAGATGCGGCTGTGTTAAAGTGGCAGGGGCAGTGTCCCCCGCCTCCCGGGTCCAACAGACACTACTGTCGCCGCTTTAACACAGCTGCACCCACCTGCTAAAGCAGGGCACGTGTGCTGGCATGGAAGGAGCTGCCCATTAACGCGTGTGTGTGGATGACATCCCACATGGATCAGACTGTGTGTGATGGCTGATCCCAGAGATGTTGCTGTGTATGTGTCATTCTAACTGCCCAATCTGCCGTGTATTGGTTTCCGGCCCGAGTTCTGCCATGTATTGGTTCGGATATGGGCGGAGCACAAGGGGGCCCCATAATCTTGTATTGCCCAGGGCCCCATGTGTTGTCAGTCCGCCCCTGCTTACTACTCTACTAGTTTTGTTTCCCATGGTCCCTGTGTGTTGTAAAGTAGCCATGGCTTTAAGATCACTCCTGTGATGGTCTACAATCACAATACAAATTAGTAAACTAAACATAAGATTGTAGTCCATTACAGGAGCAAGCTAAAAAAAAAGTCACCCTCCAGAAGGAAGGACAGTGTCAGCACCAATTCCAAGATGATTTGAGGATCTACAGCCGAGTGATATACAATAAGGTACATTTTTGTTAATAGTTAAGATACATGATTTTTTTAAAGGTTTAACTCCTGAGTTTTGTGTCACTTTAATGCAGCTAATAGAAGAAAAGTCCATGACGTCCAGAGCAACAGAGATCTCAGTTTTACATATCTAGAACATATTAAAAAATGAAGGACAAAACTGGATGTTTGCTGTGACAGACACTTTATAAGATGAATCTCAATGCTTTGTTATGTGAGATTGACTTTTTTTATACAATTGCTAATGACTATTCTACAATAATACATTCCATAACGATTATGTAGTCCCATCTGTGAACATATTAGTAATAAGTGAGTTGGGCTGTACACTTGTTTTCATTTAGATGATGTATCTCTTTTGAGTACTTACTTGTAAGCTGGCCAAACACAGGTAAACTTTCCTCTTTTCCATCATAAGAAAGGATTGTGACGGCATATTCAACATCTGGTACAAGTTCTGTTAACACAGTTTGGGTTACAGAAGCTGGGAGATCCAGCTCTCTTGCAGGTCCATCTGGAAAACATTAAAGTAAAGCATTGTACAATGAATACTATTCAGCAAAATAATTCTCATTGAATTGTATCTGTAACTCCCCCATTTCATATTAAAACCAATCATCATCATCATCATCATCAACATACCTGTATACTTCTTGACTGATTTAATCATAATTTTACTATTCAGTTCAAACTCTGTTTTTTGTAAATATGATAACAATTAACACTACAGATAAAATTTAATTAAATGGGTAGTGAGAATTTAGCTCTGACAGGCGATTGAAACAAACACACTTGTAGCTAAAACAGTAGACATATAGATCACTGGTTAGCATTTAACTAGAAAAATGTATTACAACTATTAAAATAACACTTATAAAGTGCCAGCACTCTAAGTTTCACACTCTAGTAAATATAACTAAATGTCTATTAAAGGAGAACTATGAGGTGAGTGATTTACACTCATCCTCATAGATATGGCCGACGTGTGACAATTAAACTGTCACACGTCAGCTCTATAGATCAGGAAGTGAGCGAGCACATACCGTCGCCCGCTCATTTTCTGATCATCTCCCTGCAGAGAGCTGTGACTGTCAGTCACCACTCCCTGCCGGGGTTCCCCACTCCCCTCTCCAGCGCTGACTGGAGGAACAGATGGGGAGGGGGCTGGCACAGCTTGCTCTGCCTCTAGATAGGCAGAGCCCGCTGTCAATCAGCCAGCTGGGTGGATCTCAACACTATTGTCGGAATCCGTTCCAAATGCGGCGTTCTCAATATATCGCAAGCTATAGTGAGCTATATACTGAGCTTTGGGTCATGCGAGGACATTAGTATATGTACTCCCGTGACCCTTGAGAGAACTATGGGATAAAAAGGTTACCCCGTAGTTCTCTTTTAAGTTTTACAAAGTAATCATGCCATAGTGCATGTATTGGTACTAATCATATACTAATAAGCAGGGTCAAACAAGCTGGCAGAAGAGTATAGATGTGTGATAGAGTCTAACCATTTATCAGTATAGTAAATAATATTAGGGATTTGTTTGAGCTGGTGTGACCCAGACAAACTTTTTAAAAGGTACACCAACCTCCAAAAAATGTAAATTTCCAAACTGGATGTCCCATTGGGCTCCATGGAAATACAAAAATTTAATTTAAATTTTAAAAAAAGCATTTTGGCTTCTGCGATGAAAAAAACAATGCAACCAGATCAACTCAAGTGCATTCAATGCACATCAATGTGTGCTAAATGCAAGGCAAGTGGTGTGAATCCACCCTTATATAGATCATTGTATAAGTAATTAGTGGTGTAAATGAACTTGCTTTTCAAATCTCAAAGAAAATAAGAATTCTCCTTACTAGCTTTTTCTTGATATGTTGATATTTTTAGAAGCAAACAGGAAAAAATAGGATATCCCGTATAAAGTGATTTTACACTGTAGACGTCAATAGTGGTTTAGTAACAGGACAGAGGTTACATAAGTTTTCTCTCTTTGGATTCTTCGGCCATGACTAATATGTCTATCAATCTTTCTAACAGTGTAATATTAACATTTCTATTTTATTCTAAAACAACTTGTAACTACATACCAGAGCAATACTTGAAAGTCTAAATAATAATAATCTTCTGTAATCTAGCAACATAATATTTAGTAAGTCTCTACTAGGCTCATATAAGGCATTGGGAACTAAATATTTAATAAAACAGAGGCTTAGAACAGCTAGACTGTATAAATGATGTGCAAATGCCAAAAACCTACTTGTCGTTCGTTTCATGTCTTCATCTTCTGACACTTCCTCAGAAATGACCTGGACTCCCCAACTGAATAAAACTAATCTGGGCAAGTGAAAAGGATGCTGAAACCTTATATGGAGATCGTCAACAACAGTTTGGGATTTTGGTGTTCTTTGGCTTTAGGAATCCCACTGCCAAGGTATGTTATCTTAGTTTGGGGCATGTCTTCACTACAGATCCCCATGAGTGCTTGTATAACCACTGAGACCTTCTGTACCAAAAGGTAGATAGTGCCCCTGCTGCCACATATGGATTGGCCATTGCCATTCTCTAAATGACAACGTAACGTCAAACCACATTCTGGTGGTAGGAATATTATAGACAGTTTTAGACATCTCTTTCTTTTTCCCTGATTTTCCTTTCTTTCTAGTGTCTACACGTAGTTAATGGAAAATTTGCTTTCCTTACCAGTTGTTGGAACAATAGTAATCTTGTAACCTTTTATATTCTCATTCGGTCTTTGCCATGTCATTCGAACTGTGTTCTCATTTACTATTTCAAAGTTTACATCTGTAGGAGGACCAACTGAAAGAAAACATTGGAAAGATGTATTAGTACGTACCTAAACTGCAAATGTTATTGCATCCAGCAAATCTTGGGAAAGGCATTTTATTAGATTGGATACTTTAAAGGGAATCTGGCTGATGTATATATTTTAAAGAGTCCCATTTGCTTTGTTTAATAACATATTTTTGTTGCTCTGTGCTAAATCTTTTGTTTTCTTTTCATCATTTTAATTATAAGTGTAAGTAAGAGTTGATGTTTCAGGTCAATACATATACATGATGAGTGTACAGAAGAGGGTAGAGCAGAAGTGTGGCAATCTCCATTATATTGATGGATGGCTTAGACAATAAAATTGCAATGAAAGGTATGTGAGTGTCATTGAGTAAAGCCTTTCCACTTCATATTGTGCAAGAACTATAATATAAAACATTTTCCAGGTTGCTTGCCATGTACTTAATTTTCTCAGTAGTCATTCGGGGTGGGAGTTGATTAAACTGTTTGTCACACAGACAAGTTCTCTTGCCAATGACTTTAAATCTGTAAGGACAAGAATTTCTAAGCTACATTTATATTAACTACAATGTAAGGCTAAGAATATTGGTTATATGATAGTTTCCCTTTAAAGGCATAGGACACACCAGAAGAAACAAAATGTGTCTATAAGGATGCAATAACATTTGCTAACCAAGGCATTCTTAACAACAGACAGTACATAACAACATACACACGAAGCTTATAGACAGCAAAGCTTTGCATATGGTTGTTTCCAACACCATGACAGACTACTGCTGGAAACAATTCAAGCTGACAATATCCACCATAGTACAACTTACAATGCACAGAACAAAACACTTACTTCTTGAATTGCTTAATCATCCCAGAATGATCAGCAAAAATCAAGAATAAAGGAAAACATGGTTTAGACATATAAACATATAAAATCACAGTAGTAAAAGTAGTAAAAGGTGAAAATATGGTTTATTTTCTACATGCTAGGTGCAAATCATGCCAAAACACAAATATTTAGGAAATTTGAATTTTCTCTAACCTTGTATGTATTGCTAGTATTAAATTAAAGTGAGGTACATAATTGTTAATATCTTATGGTTATCTGTTCAATAATAGGCATATTTTCTCACTAGATGCTTAACAAAGCAGTGGTGACATGCATAACAAGATAACTGTAATTGGGGATTTAATATAACCATTTATTACTATGAGATGGCAGATAATCAAGAATTTCTATTGGGATATACCAAACTAATGTTCATTGTCCTGTACTACGACAGTGGTCTGTAGGCATTTAAGACTTAAATCCCCTAAAAACAAAATGTGCTGTGTTTTTATAACAGGTAGACAGTAGGTCCATACTACACACAGCATTTTGAAATCAAAATGCAAGTATGGATTGTCACAAAACACTGGTTAATGGTGGCAAGACAGAATCACAGCAAGTTGATGAGCGATGTTTAGAGGATTGCGAACACACAGTAGAAACGCCACTAAAACCCACAAATAACTGCACACAAGGGG